CTCCAAATCAGCAGTTAGAGACCATCACTAGAAACAGAACTCAGCTGGGCAGACATCTGGCCTCATCCAAAACTGTAACAGCAGAGAGCTTGTTTTGCTGGGTATTGACGTGGAGGACTTCCAACAAATCTCAGCATTAGAATGATTTATTTGTCTGATTTCTTCCAACAGGTAACCTGCCATAACAAATCAGAGCTAGTCCATCTCTCCCTTTCACCCTTCATGCTTCACAGGCTGGAAAAACTGTCTCACAAGACAGGTGGCAATGAGAAACTGAAATTCCTCATGGAATGAGGATTGTCATGACCCTTAAGTCCAAGAAAGACATGTCAAAAAAAGCCAACCATACAAATTTTTGGGGTAGATGATATAAACAATTTGGTCTTGGAAATTAGGGATACTAATGTGCTCCCTTATGCTCTTATTCTATAAACTTATTTCAACATCTGAGAGGTTTGTATGACCATTGTCAGACTCCCCTGAAACCTCCCCAGAAGAGCAGAATAAGCCACAAACTAAGTAGTACCCAGAGAACTTACCACCACTCCCCAAACAGATGAGAGTTTACAAACTTAAAAAAAGAAAAAAAAAAAATCTGCTCAAATATTCTTGAACCTGTTAATGTACCCAGCCATATCACATAGAACAGTTTAGGATGACAGGGCCCTCTGGACCTTGCTTCATTCAACCCTGCCACCATCCAAAAGAGAACTTGCTTCAAAGTTAGATCAGGCTCTTCAGGGCCTTGTTCAGTCAAGAGTTAAACACCTCCAAAGCTGGGAGATCCCACAGCCTCTCCAGGCAGCCTGCACCATTGCATTCACCAACCACACTTACTAAGGTGTTGTTCATTTCTTTTTTGCCTTCTCTCCAGCTGGAATTTCCCTTTCTGAAACTTATAACTTCTTGCTTTTTCACTGTACACCTCTAAGAAAATTGTACAAGTAGATTGTACAGTGAAGGTATATGATACACCTGAGCCAACCTTACAGCTCACCACTACTAACAGTAGCGGACCAGCCCTGTACATGTTCAACAATCTAATTTCAGGCCCTCCCCTCCTGGGCTAGCCCTGCAACCTAAATGGCTGCACAGACAGCCAATTTGTCTTGCTAACCTGACAGAAATCCATTCCCTTCTTTAATTCCTATGTCATTTCAGCAATATTAATATGTTCAGCACAAGGGAAAAAGTGAAGCTGTAGGTAGGAACAGAGCACTCCTTTTTGGAGGGGTGAGAACAATAACCTATAACCTGTGAATTTACACTTAGGTGTCACAGCACATCACCTGCTATAAAATTTCAACCTGCTCTAATACACTCTAATCAAAAACTGAACAGTCTTACGCTTCCTACTTCATCCTCTCACCTATGGGATGACATTTACACTTCTTTCCTTAATAATGCAACCTATGTCTTCTGTGATTCATGAAGACAGCTATTAAGACAGTGCTTAACTAATTATATTCAGCATTAATTAGCACCTGAGCTACACAGAACATAATACATAGAAACCCTATACATTTGGTTGGGGGATGCCTTGCCAGTTGGAAATGGAGGAGCAGTAAATTCATGTGATTCATACAGATGCTGGTGTATGATCTTCACCAAGCCAAAGTCACAAAGATCAAAGGTGTACATCAGCCTGTGGCACTGAAATGCCACACACCATTTTATGATTTAAGTTACAATGCACCATGGGGACCTTACTTGAAGTAAACATCATTTAGCTTTGATGGAGAGGAATTAAGAACCCCAAAAGCACATACTCTTTCATATAGGAAATGCTTTTAAACACACCAGAGAAAACTGTCACAGGACCAGCATTCAAAGTCATATTTGACAGCTAATGACAACTCAAGTTTCACCTTTTATAACAATTCAACTTACAGCAAATTTCAGTAATTTCCCAAGCTAAGGTTTTTGAACGTTTTGAACTTTTTAACAAAAAACTTTTTAAAAGGTGTTACTGGTAACAAAGGTAAGTGGTACTGGTAACTGCACTTTATGAGAGAACAGACTGACTCTTTCCAGTTTTCATACACTGAACACCATGGTTTGTAGAGTCCATAAAGATTAGCAATTTATGAGGTCAGAGCTAGCTTATCTCTTATCTGACGTATAAAAAGCAGTTTTCCAAAGGAAAATTTAACTAATCCAAAGCAACAGGAAAAAAACAAAACCAAACCAAAAAACACTTACCAAAGGTACAGAGAGCTCACAGTAACCTATACTTACCCTAAAAGAACACATTCAGGTTTTTTTATTAGCATGTCTGAATTCCTCTAGTCCATTAGTCTCCTCAAGGCTCAGTATTTCAGTTTGAAATCAAGACAAGTATCACATGAACCACCACCACTCCCTGCTCCATCCTCAGATACACTGCACCACCTTTGATGCCTCCCCAGCCATCTGTATTTTGCAAGAATTGCTACTGTCTCAGCTGCCACAGATCTGCCACGAGAAAACCTCCCTGAATCCCTGCACAACTCCCTGCCCAGTTGAAACCTGCTGCCACCTATTGTCAGACAATTCACAGCTCTGCCCTCAGCCATCACTTCAGATATGGCTCCACTGCAAGGCGCCAGGCTCTACCCAGGACCCCCATTACTTGCACAACTCTCCCCCAGGTACTCATATTTTCACATAAATACCTTTCCAAGTGATCCCACCAGATCGCTTCATCAGTTCACACCTTCAAACTGCCTCATACAGCTACTTCCTACCCTCAGCCCAAAGCAGACCTTTTACCAGATTTTACCAAACAGTGTAAATTAAATTAAGATCACTACTGTTCAGGTTCTTTCATAGTTGCTAGTGAGAAAGAACAGGAGCAGTGCACATAACCCTTTCAGTCTCTGTAGTCTCACATCTGCCTTTGTAAAGCACGCAGTTAGCTGCACTCCTCCTCTCCTCCATCACTCCAAAGACTTGATGATTTTTGAGAAGGAGCACAGTGCAATAACCCTAAACAGTTTTCACAGCTCTTCTACAGCCAGCCCAGTTCAAAGCCCAATTCTGGGTCTTTAGCCTCAGTGATAGCTTTACTAAATATCCGTTTCCTCCGGAAGAGCCATCTAACTAATTCTTGTCAGTTCAGTGCTGCCTATGAAATTTCCAAGAGCATTTGTGGAAAATGGAAAAGAACAAGAAAAAGCTAATGATTGCAGAAGTCAGTTTTCATTCTATCAGAGACTGGAGGGAGAGAGGAAGCTAGGAATTCAACAAGGATCCCAACAACCACATGCCTGCAGAACCAAGACATGTTTTTACCAGCAAGTTTAGTAGCTACTCTTCAACAGAAGCACAAATGTTAGTGTAAGAGGCTCACATCTTTTCATTGTATTAGCACTCTTATTTAACTCCACATTAAGTTGCTTTTCCCTCTATGCTAGCAAGGATATGCTAGGGAGATGATGCCAACACAAGTAATGTTAACTTTTCTAGCACAGCTACAAAACTTTGGAGGTGCCACCTCACGTGCTATCAGCTCGATAGTGAAAACTACCTAACCGCCAGCTTCCTTCCACACACGTGTTGTGTCTCATAATAATACTCATTACAGATTTCCCCTACGCAGTCAAACATTGATGGTAATTTCAGCAACTGCGTTATTTTTAAAACTGAGATACACAGACCTTACAAGAAGGTGCAATAATGTGCGCAGTTATGTTTTGCCAAGGTATGCATGAACCAAAGGCAGTTTACAGCTTAAAACTTATCACTGTTCATATACTTTTGAGAAGCTTTTTTCTAAAAAGGCTAGTGCTTGTTGCTAAGCTATCCAACTTTACTTTCCCATTTGGAAACAGTCGGTGATTTTCTGGCTTTGATTTCACAAGGAGCAACACGCATGTATTTTGATGAGAACACTCATGAGCAGAGCTAATCACCTGTCACTTCTGTGAGGCTGCTTCAGCCAGACATCAAACACAATCATCCAGGCTCTTGCCACTGATCAATTACAGATACCAGGCAAACTTTCCTACTGGTTGCCTGGTTCTTCTGAAGTTCTTTTGATGCGAACAACTTGCAAACTTTCTTTCTGCTGGAATCACAGTTTGATAAGATAAATTTTGTGGGGAAGGTTTTCAGCTGAACATTTTTAGAAGATCTAAATCTGTTAACGACTAACCTGTAAACGACATAGCTCAGTATACAGCTTTTCATGCAAACAACTTTTACAAGGATGTGTGACTAGGATGTTTTAACACCAGTGGTCACTACATGCATTCAACTCCATCCCATTTCTGCTCTTTGCCGCACGGACTTTCTTCTCCACGCAGTCATGGAAAGCGGCACACAACACACTCACAGTGGCACGGACAGTTAACTGCTAATAAGCAGACCAGGACGCCAAGTGCCACTATCCGCTCCGAGGCGGCATCACCGTGAGCTCTGGTCGCCCCGCGCTGCTCTGCTGAAAGGAAAACTGGAAGCGAGAGGCGCTGGGCGGCACGGCCGAGGTGGCCTCCGCGCTGCCGCTGGTGTCTCACTGCCCTCGTCGGGCCGGGACCGCGCAGCTGGCAGGACCCCCTCCGCCCTGCCGTCGCCGCCGCGGGAAGCGCCCCAGGGCCCAGCTCCTGTGCCAGGAGACAGTTACCCGCAAGCAACTTCGGCAAAGGTTTCTGCGGCGGACAATGGTGGTGCAGGGGCTCGGGGCGTGAGGGGACGGGACACCCCGCCGGGGCGGGAAACCAGCAACCTGCCCGAGACGGGGGCAGCGCGGGCAGCACATGGAGGACCGGCAAGCCGTGCGCGGCTGTGGCCAGCCCCGGCTGCGGGGCAACAAGGACGAGCAGGTACAGCGCAAGGGATTCCTGAAGAGGGAGAAGGCGCGGATGGGGCAGCGGCGAAGGTTCCGCGCCCCGGCGGTCTGCTCCCGAGCCCCGCGCCTGAGGGGCGAGGGCGGCGGGAGGCTCCACGGGCGGCGTGATCGGAGACGGGAAAGGGAGAGGGGAGCGGCGCGGACTGTCCTGGCGCTGCGCGCGCCGCCTCACCATGAGCACTTTGGCCGCGTTCTCCAGCTGGGCGATCACCTCGGGGGCCCCCGCCGCCGATGCGGCCGCCGCCATCATGGTCTCTCTTCAATGACGCGCCATGCGCTGCATTCTGGGACGAGGCGACCGCGCAGCCAATCCCAGGCTAGGCTAGGCTAGGCTCGGCTCGGCTCGGCTCGGCTCGGCTCGGCCAGGCTCGGCCCGGCCCGGCCCGGCCCGGCTCGGCCCGGGCGGGGAGGTGTGGCGGTGGCGGCGCCGCAGCGTGTCCGCCCGCCACCAGCCGGGGAAGCGCCGCGTCGCTGCCAAAGGCAGCCCCCACCCTGCGCACCACCGGCCTTCCTCCTCCTCTCACCCGCGCACCCGCCCGCCCCGCCTCCGGGGCGGACCTGGGGCACGCGGCGGGACCCGCGGAGCCCCGGGGCGGGGCCCGACACCGCCCATCGCCGGTTCGAGGCTGCCGCGCACTGCCGGGGCCTACGGGTGTGTGTGCCGCCCGTGGAGGCTGAGGACCTGCCACCCGCGCTCGGCCAGGGCTGAGGCGGCAGCGGCGGAGGGCAGGGCGGGAGCCTTGTTCGGGTGCCGCCCGGTTCGGTCGTGTTTCCGAGGGCGGGCCGGTGAACTCGGGCGTTAGCGAGACCGCGGGCGCCAGTCGCTTAGAGGTGCTGGCGAGTTTTCAGTAGGGTGAGCGGGATTAGTCTTTAAATACAGTTTAGAAAGTGATGGGGAGTGGAGAAGTTGGCCAGTGTCTTTACAAATGGAACTGCCAAGGCTTAAAACTGATCTGAAATGCATTTTTCTCCACGTAACTCCATCTTGGGGTCATGTCACGTTACTAGATGTGAGTTACAAGACAGTGTCACCTCTGAAAAATACACTGTTGTACACCTGTAGGAGCAAATGAGCTCTGTGCTTGTGCCTGTGTTTCAGTTTGGTTTAGGAGTTTGCCTTTTAATAAAATCTGATGGTTTCCACTTCAGTTTGTGCACTGGGGCAGGCTTGGAGCCTTGATACCTTCAGATGAAACTAAATCAGAAGATCTGCAAATACCAGTGTGTAGGGTCAGGCTGGATCTCCACAGTTAGCCCTGTACAGCACAGACCACTGAGCAGCATCAGATCCACTACACTACTCCACTAGCAATAGGTCTTTCGAGTGAGGTTTCTCATCCTGCCAGTGTCAGCCTTGAGGTGACATTGATCTCTAGTACTGAACTTATGCAAAGAGTGGGACATACCAGCTGACTGAGCAGTCTGATTAAAGTCTTAAACGCTCACAGATTGTTCACATAAGTTGAGTGTAAATGTGCAATGTTTCCATGGAGGTGACACATATGTAATAGCCAAAGGCAGAGGAGAGGATCAAGGAAATGGAATGACAGCAAGAAATACATCTTTCGTACTCAAAAGAAGAACGCAAGTATTTTTTTCCCAAGAAATGACAGCTTTCAATGCTGAAAAGGGTATGGCAGTGCCCACTACTAGACAAGATTACAAGTATCAACAGAACCGTGTAAAAGATTGATTTTGTGGTTTACCTAGGAGGTAATGTAATTCTTGTTAAAACATAAAATGTATTTCAGGGTAACATTCAATTCACAGCTGAAGCAGGTGGGGAGATCAGGAAAGGAGAGCTGAGTATGAAGAAAATTGAACCAACAGTCAGAGATGGAGGGGTTCAAAGGTAGTGAAAGTGTGACAACACACAAATTCTGAAGTGTGTTTATTGGGCAAACAATACAATGTATAATGAGTCTTGCTTTCAAGAACAGTAAGACAAGCTAAAGACTTAGAAGTTTGTGTACAAAGAGGTAATGTCTAAGAAACCTGAAGAGTATGAAAAACACTGTTTTAAAGAATTCTGTGTTCTGTAAAGGACTATTTCAGTGGAAGATTTCTGTGCTTGTAGCTTGCATTCAAAATGAGATTCTTCAACAACTTCTTCCATATTCTCAGAGGTCCTTCATTCTCCTGTGGACTCGTGTGTTCAGCAGCACTCTCAAATAGCCATGCAAGTAATAAAAATAAAATAGTGCTCAGGTTGGGGGGACTCAAGAGGTCTCTAGACCAACCTTCTGACCAAGTTGTTTAAAGGTTAGTCCAGCAGCGTCTTAAAAGCCTCCAAGAATGAAGAGTGCACAGCACAATCTGTGCCAATACTTGATTGTTGTTATGGCGAAGTTTCTTGACCCTAAATCAGAACCTCCCCATGTGAATATTGCCTCTTATCCTGCTGCCATGCACATTAGTAGGGTTTTGCTCCATTTTCTTGATGGAGAAGAAGTACCTTCAGGTACTGGAAGGAAGCTCCTGGGTTCTCCTTCAAGCCTTCTGACTGGATGCAGTTCCCTCAGCCTTTCCACCCCCTCACCATCTTCTTTGCACTCAGGGCAATTTGTCAATGTCTTTCTCATACTGGGAAGCCCAAAGTGTGATGTGTTTTTATAGATGTGATCTAACAAGTACTGAGTGAAGGTGACTAATAATTCTCTCAATCTGCTGGCTTCATGCCTGTAAAAACAACCTAGTATGTCTTTGTAAAAGTTAGCCTTGCTCACTGCTGTGGCATTCTGCTCATTCATGTTTAGCTTGGTATCTGTCAGGGTCAAATAAAGAGCGTGACTGGGCCTTAATTGCTGTGACACTCTGATCTGGGACTTTGTATGTGCAGAACTGTAGGTTTACCTGTGCCAAGTGCAGTCTCCTGTTGTCTTGGGTTATCAGTTAGCCTTCCTGGATGGGCCTATATAACATATAGCCTTGTCTCCAGCACTTTCTCCCATGTGGACCTTGTCTCTGATTCTGTCTTCTGCTGTTCATGGCTGGACTTTCTGGCTGGACCTCACTCATTATCTTACTTTGTCTTGGCCTCTCAAGAAGACCTATCACCAATCCAGTCCTGCTCAAATCCTATGGAACTGCACCCTGGCTGGTGAGGGCACTGCCCTGCCTGTCCTGTGGTCAGGCTTGGTTCCCAGCTTATCAGCCCTCATGGATGGGCCCTACTCTTGTTGTCCATCACACAGTAGACCAGGACCTCCAGTTTTCCTTCTCGGTCAGTCCTCGGCCTGTACTGCCATGGTGGTTGTTCCATCTCTGGTAAGGTATGACACCTTAGGATCCATCCCTCAGTTCTCTGAATAGGCATAGTGGTTTGATCAATCTGTATCTTTCCCTTCTCCCCCTGAAGTTGTCTGTCTGAGCATACTTCAGAAGTAACATGTTCATTAAATCCACTCTTTTTTTCACAAATGTCTACACTATGTGTAGACAAAATCTTGCATTTTATCATATCATCATCAGGTGCATCTTGCCCTCATTTCCAGTGGAAGGACTGAGTAATCTGCAGTAAAAATGAACATGTTCAAGTAGTCACATTTTCTCTCAGCTATATATACAATTTTAATGTTCTTTTGGCTAGCCTTAGAAAAGCTGATTGTTCATTTATCTTGTCAGGGTGAATGCTGAAGCTATTTCTGCTGTTGGCTAAAAAAGATGTATCACATTCTTCCTTAGTGCTTCCCTCTTTTGTGGTGTTAATACTCTTAAAATAGTTCAAAGCTTTTGCTGCCAGAAAGAGTGTTGTAGGTAGTGGAGCCTATGCTTCCTGCTCTAGCAGTCTTTCTCTAGCTTGCTTTCTTCCACAGCTGAAAACAGCCAGCTACTGCTAATTTTGGCTAAATATTAAAATGTTAAGGAAAATAGCTGAAGATTAAAATGTTAAGGAAAATGACCTGGTGGTAAATTAGTCATGCATTAGGGTTTGGGGTGTTGTTTGGTTTTTTTTGTTTTTTTTTGTTTTGTTTGAGATATGTGTTAATTGGTCCTATGCACACACACAGTTACACTGTATCTGTTGTAGTCAGGAGCATCTGACAAAGTCTGAGGTAAGTAAATAGAAGTGACTGAGTACTAAGTAAGTTAGACCAGCTAAGGAAATCAAAGTCAGTAGGCAACTGGATCAATAGTATGAAAGCACAATGACAATTGGGAACTTGCAAGTGGTGATCTTGAGAGAAATTTATCTTTTAGCATTGGTTAGATAGAATCTTTTGAAACCATTCTCTCCCATAAGGACATGCAGCTTGATTTATTTCCTGTTCTTAATTTCTTAGTGCTCTTAAGACTGTTTCCCAAATGGTTTCAAGAGATCTCTTCCCACATAGCCTGCACTTATTATTTCGGTAGATCTCATTTCTCTGGCCAAGACATTCAGTTTGCTTCCTTTTCCAAGCACCTTTTTCCTAACATCTATCTTCACTGGCTGGATTTCTGCAACAAAACCTGCAATAAATTCTGCAAATAAATTGGAAATAAATTCCTTCAATGCTTTCTGATTAATTATTGGCTTTTTACCAGTGCCTAGAAGTCTGTTCAGAGTAGTGGCTCCAGTACTAGCTGCTCCAGTTGTGGTAGTTTGTGATGCTCACCTCCAGTGACACAGATTTCCTACCAGCATGAACTACTTGACAGGGTCACTTCAAACAATTCTGCTAAATTCCTTCAGACGCCCTGTCTAGATTTCCATACAAATGGTCTCAGTCAAGTTACATACGCTCATAAGTCACTGTTTCCCTCTTGAGGAAAACCTTCCACCAAAATTATTGTAAGCAAGTCTGGTAGCACTGTTCAGTGCTGTTGGTCAGTACTTCCTATTATGAAGCCAGTTTTCCGTTGCCTTGCTCCAAGTTGGACAAAGTTTAACATTTTGGGAATATAGGTTTCTGTGCAAGGTAGCTATGACAAGCTTGGAGAATACTGCTCCTTGTGCTAAAATGGTAGTTGCTTCTGAGAACAAAGCTAGAGAAAAATAAAGTTGAAAGATTGAATTGAGGCTTTTGCAGAAAGCCACTTTTTGTTTTTAAATAGGCTTAAAGTTTGAGAAAGAGCAAAATTTTTATTGGAAAGTGTCTCTTCCCATTCCTGATAATCAGTTTGTGTTTGGCCACATTTAAACTGGTAAACCAAGAAGGCTTGTACGTACTTGATTTGATAAAGCAAATATAGCCTTCAATTTCCCTTCTCAGTGACAATTCATCTTAATGTTCACAGAGCATCTCTGAACAGTCCTTTCCCTCACAGCCCTCACATGTGACTGGACTGCATGTCTCATCCTCCAGAGCATGGCCTGGCCCCTCACAGCTTTTGCTTCTGGCTGAGGTC